AAAGCTTGAGGCTCTGTCTCAAAAAAAAAAAAAAAGACCCAATGGAGTCTCACCCAAGCAGCGGGTCCCCGCTTTGCGTGTTTTCATAGTCGCTGTCAGCACCACTACCGTGGCGGGAAAGCTTACTCTGGAGGGTGAAAGAAGCGGGTATGTGTGAATACACAGCCTCCTAGTCCACACAGCTCCCAAGCCCATCCCTTGGGCACTGGGCATGGAAACATTACCGTGTGGCGGCTTCCTTCCTGGGAGCACGACAGCAGTGGGGAGGAAGGAGTGAAGGGCACAGCTGAGGCAGACACTCCCTTCCGGATCTGAAACCCAGGGCAGAGCTGGAGTCAGTATGTCTTCCCCACCTCCCAGCTGCCCTCGTGAGGGCAGGGACTGGTGTGTCTAGTCACCTTTAGGCTCAGCATCCAGCATAGAGCCTGAAACCCCCTTAGACTTAGCACCTACTGGCTGGAATTTGGACCCACCTTCCCCAGGCCCTGCTTACCCGGTAAAGGCCAGCAGGGATGTGCACTGGATAGATGGCATCGTCCTCTAGCTCCTGCGAGTGTTAGCACAGTGAATGTCACAGTGGGCCCTGTGGCAGTCCTGGCCCTCTGTCTCTCCCCACACTTTGAGACCCAAAGGCAACTCACGGTGCCATGGAAAGGCTGTAGTCGCGTAGTGAGCTCATCCCCAGGAGGGCCCCCAAAGGGCTTCAGGGCAGAGCCTGGTTCATACATGGAGAAGGCCTGGCGGTCCCTGCGGTGGGTGCTCCCACCGGGCCCCATGGGTGTGTGTTCTGCCCGTTCACTGGGGAGTGGAGGTGTGGGCACTGGTCCTGGCGGCTGCCGGAGCTGCAGGTTCTCTGCCTGCAGCTTGTGGATCTGTCAGTGTAGGATGGTTTAAGACTCTGAGTCCAGCGGACACCTGAACTGGGTTGGGGCAAACATCCTTCCAGGAGTCCTGGGGCTCCCCACTCCCACCACGGCTGTAGCACTCACCTCCCTCTGCAGCCTCCGTAGTTCATCACTCAAGCTACTGTTGACCTTCATGAGCTGCTGCACTTTTGCCTCAGAGGTAGCCAGGGCCTTCTTCAGCTCTAGGTACTCCTGCAGCGTCACAGCCCCATCGGACAGGTCTGAGGAGTCCATGCTCTACAGAGGGAGATGTAAGCCCATCAGCCATCAGGGGCTGTCCCCAAGGCCCCTGGGCTTCTATAAGATAGAGCTGGGCCTTGATAGAGGCTTGGGGTGAGGACAAGGGGAGAGAGTGGGAGGGGAGGGACAGTGCTCAGACCCGGGCGCGGTTGTTCCGTGTGGCGCCGGCACTGCGCAGAGGCTCCTGGTCAGTGTCCTCATCAGAGGCCACACTGTCGTAGTCGTGCTGGTCGTCGAGGTCACTCTGGCTCCGCGCAGACAGCTCCAGGTTGTCTGAGGACACAAGGCCTGCCACTCAGGGCTCACTCAACCACACAATCCATCTATCCTACCACCCGCACACAAGGGGAGCACAGAGAACACCCTACAACAGTGGCTGCCACCCGCACCCTGACCATGCCCTCCCACCTGTGGGACTACTCAGGCTCTTGCCCTGCTGTCTCCGCTTGGCCTCGCTGAGAATGTCAATGATCAAGGTGGCAAACTCTCGGGCATTAAAGCGGGCCAACTTCTGTCGACCCTGCAAGGCAGAAAGGGCCAGGCTTGCATGAGGAGGCCCCTTATGGCTGATGCACAGGGTGAGGACAAAGTAGCAAGGTGACACCCTGTTATCTGACTTAACTACAGCTAAAGAATCCCAATCCAACTTTACCTGGTCAGTCAGCAGCCAAGCCCACTCTACAGGCCAGGGTCAGGCATGGCAGCTCTTGGGAAGGGGCTGGAATACCCACCAGAGCTCCTAAGCAAGTGTTCAAAAGAATGGCCTCTTCCCCCTCCCCAAATCCCAGTGCCAGCTGGGCCCTGAAGAAGGCCCTGGTGAGGGGTATAGAGCTGGCCCAGGGGCCTAGGGAAAGACCCAGGCAGAAGGGAGACCGCCCCAAGGCCCCAACTCTGTCCTCTCACCTGATTCCTTGTGGCTGAGTATTCTGGGTTAACAGGCAGGAAGGGCACAGCACTGCGCTCTGTCACCAGGGTGCTGTGGTTCTGGGTAGCCAGCCACACTGTGGGGGAGGGACAGGAGCAGATCAGCCTCTGTGGCCAGGCCCCCACAGCGGAGCTGGGGAAGCGCTGAGCACAGCCTTCCTAGCTCCCCCCATGCCCGTTAAGCACTTATGTTCAAAACAGGGTGGTCTTCAGATGTGCAGAGCTAGGATGGGTCAGGGCAAGGCTGGGTGAGGCTG